TTCAAGTGGCGCATGGGTGGCCGCGACGCTGTGGGGACGCGATTGAGTTCGAGCTGAAATCGATCGATTGGCTTCCGGTCAGCTCGTCTGGGACGGCTCGCTGCAAGGCGTGAGTGACCTTGAGGCAGCGAGGTCTTAAACAATGACACCGGGCCAGTCAGGATGGCTAGTCGCCACAGGTCTGACCAGTGTAACCTCAAGAGCGGTTTAGACACAGAATACGATACACTAACTCCCCGGTATTTAGTTGATTTCCACGACCCTGCTGTTCATGGTAGCTTTGGGCTAGTTTGTTATTGAAACACCTTGTCTTCCGGTGTGCGCTCGGTTGCCTATAGTGCCCTATTTGTTCATGGCAAAGCATGTCATATCGTTTGTAGGGCTTCTGTTCAGGGGGGCGAAAACAAGCACAGGTTATAATCTCGAATTTTATCTCTTAATTTTGTGTGTGTACAAAACCTAATCACATTACCCTCTGCTACTTCAAATTGTCTCTAGTTAGTCCGCATTTTCGTCTTTTTGATACCCGTGTAGAGATATCACCTGAAAATGTTCTCTGCTGGGCTGCCCTCCGACAGAGCTCAACGGGAGAGTCTAAAAGCTCTGCTTCAGCCACTGATTGGGGTATGTTGTTGTGATGTTTTGCTATTTATGTCCGTGTTTTGTTTTTTGCCGAACACTAATCCAAGTTAGACGGAACTGGGCAGATTAAATCGAAAGTGGGCGAACCTGCATACTTAATGTGTAAGTCGACTTAGATCATGTTACCTGACTTCTCGGCTGAGTGCCGGTGCCTTGTTATATTGCACTTTCTGCGGGTCATTGGGTCTTTCTCCTGTCAGAGTGGACCATTTGGACATAATACTGTTGAATGCGATTCCGGTGAGGGTCCACTCTTGACATTCGGCGGTTTATCTACTTTCAATAACCCTTCATTAGTCTCTGTCATCATCAGTACCCTACCTGCAGCCCACATCCTCCCAGCATGCGCACTTTGTTGTAATTACTCACCCCTCCTCTCCCCCCCTCTTCTTATTCTAGATACCGGTCTCTGAGCAATTCCGCGAGCGTCTGTCCCTCACCAGCCTGGAACCCCTGAAACGTCAGGCAGGTCGTGGAAAGACAATGCCGTCTGCGCTTGAACGCAATGAACTTGCCTTCCGGGCACTCACTGACCTCTTTTCAGCAGAGTAGAGACTGACCCTTATATTCGGCCCTCTCGAATTGTATTACATGCGTGTATTTTTTTACAACAATGAGAAACTCTTCATGTCCACTTGCACTTCCCTTTTTTTTCGCTTAAAAAGGACGGGTTCCTGCCTCTTGTCTTCGTGATGAGCCTAAAGGCCACTCACATGTTTGCGTTTTTTTGTTGTGAATACATGTTAAAAGTTAAAAATATGGCGATGTAGGTCCGGGCCGTTTGCGGGCTCGGGTTAGTATTTTAATAATTCGCCCGCCGTACACAACGAAGATCATCTCCAGCAGATTGAACTTCTGGTTATTGTGGTGCTTCGAGTGGTTTGTTGATCAACGTCTGGGGGATGTGGGGACATTCGACGAATCTCGCCACAGCCCCGAATGCGTGTCGTGAATGAGCTGAAGCATTTGTAATTGAAAACCCATTAGTTGAGCACAGTGAGTAGGCTATCCTGGAAACGAAGATAGCAGTATCCTAACAGTTGCAAACTAGTAAATAAGAACAAAGTCTTCAGCAGGTAAACATGCACGCGCTTGTTCTTTGCGGCGTTCAAGGTTGTGCCAAGTTCTCTAAAAAGCATCTTGTAGCTGATTAAAACAAAACGGGCTTAAATGTCACTACGCATTAATCCCGTCGCTGCTGCTGGTTGGGGGGCCATCACTGCTGGCGCGTACAGTCTGGCCGCCCGTCAAGCGGGCAGGAGGGATTGGGGATCAATAATCGTGAACGGCGTAAGTGGATACGAGTTTCGAAACTGCTATATTAGCCGTTCCATCTTTCGAATGCAATGTTCGGGCTCTAGGGGTCGAAGAACCGACTTGGCTGCTCGTTGGGCCGAGTTCGGTGGCCCGACATTCTAATGTTTTGAGAAGCGGAGGAAGGATTTACTTGAGAAGTACGGTCGGTTACGCGAAATTGGGCATGCTAATTTAATCATCGTCTAACACTACCCCCAGTTCAGTATACATAAGGGAGCTGGGCAGAGGCTTCGAAGACCCTATTCACGGATAAACAGATAACAACATGCCATAATTTACATGTCAGTTTTTTCAAGTAAGTTTAAATTTATCAAGTCCTTCTTTGAAAATCTCAAAGTTTTCCGTCAAGACAACCGAATTCGACGATTCTATCCTTTAGCCGCCCGATGCAAGAAGAATTTGACCCACAATTCAGGTGTGACAAAGTTTGCTCACAATTCGTATCTACGACCTCAAAGAGTGGTTTTCCGGGTCAGTTTAAAGTCACCAAATTGAAGAGCACAGTTCAACCCTCAGACGACCCTAAGGGTCATGATCATATCCCCTCCGTAGTCTATGAAATGCTGGGAATTTTTTGACCGTTTCAAATGTCTTTCCTGGGTAAGCATCTTAATTCGCCGACAGCTAGGTAGCTCTTAATTTAAGTTCCGCGAAAGGATGCAATCTTGTTTCCTCCAGGGACGCCACTCATGAACGTCAGATTCTAATGGGCGCTTGGCCACCTTCTCGTAGGAAGCATCGCGATAATGGACTAACGCCAGCGTGGACAGACTGAGTAGGTAGACGTCCGACCTAGCCTTTGGTCAGCTTCGTTTGGCCACAGATTCATGGTGTCGAGGGGAAACGGACGCGACTTGCTTCTGAGCCTGGGCTTGGCGGCTTGGAAGGTCACCTGTCAGCGTTTTAGTTCGGCTCCCTGGTTCTAATCTGCTAACAAAAAAGGAAGCATTGACTGAGCAAGTTGGAGAGTCAGTTGGAGTGCTGCCGGACCATTTATCCTTACTTTAACTAATTTCTTGTGTGAGACAACATTGTTCGCCTCACACCGCAACACTGCTTGGTGCATTTATGTCCTCGTGCATCAGCGGCACATCATTCGTCTGACACCAAGAGTCCTTATTTGATATTCTATTCTATTTATGCAATTAGTTCACTGTCTTGCATTGAAATACTTATAAAAGTAAATGAGGGCACTCCCGCCTATCACACCTCTCCTCGCCCAATGCTCAATAACTGACGAGGACTGGCGGATGCCTCTCAGACCGACTCACACACTGGAGACTTAAACAATTGCAGTTCGGAGCGAAATTACTTGTTAAACCAAACAGCAGTTTCGTCTTTCAACGATGAATTTGTAGTTGATAGTTCTGGAAACTAATACGGGCAGCAGTGATATTTCCGGAGAATTTATGCATTATATATCCCACATATTTTTAGATATACAACAGAAATAAACTGTTAGAGATCTTCGATAGCAACACTGACTGTCTTACGAAAAGTGTATTGAACATTCACCCGAATCAAAAGGTGGTACGCCAACAACGTCCATCTTAGATTTGACCCATGTGAACTTTGCACCATCTGGCCAGCAGTGTCCACTATCCTCTACACCGCATAGCACTTCAGGCCAAATCTATGGTTGCATAGAACACATCTAAAAGCCTTACTGGCCACAGCCTCAAAGTGGTTTGTTACTATGGGCCATATTCCGTAGGTTATTTCGTTGCGGCTTTCTGGTTGAAACGGTTATTTTCGTTTTTGTATAAAATCTGTAATTCATTACTTATCCTCATCGCACCTCCCCTTTGAATAAAATAAGGCACTTCGTAACAGCTACTTTGCGCACCGGAATGTAGATCACGCAACTTGCGAATCAAACTATAGCAGTTCGCCTTGGTTGGTACGATGTAATTCCCTATCCATTTCTCATTCTGTCGATCTCCCTCTGGCGCAACATGAGAAGGAACCAACAAGATTTCGACAGAACCAGACAGCGAATTGCCTCGACCTAGTTCTTACTAAGGACTTCTCTAATATCGACGAAGTGCATTCCAATGCACTTCTAGGGAAAAGTGACCATACTGCGCTTGGGATTATTCGCTCTTCTCTCAACGCCAGAGGAGAACAGAGGGCCAACCTAATATATGGAATGTAGATTCAAACACGATAAAGAACGAATTGTTGTCCGTAAATCGGGACCAATTACTCAGGGAAGATCCGGAAGACGACTGGAGATGTTTTAAGACGATTTCACTCTATCTGATTCGGCGCTGTTGTCCAACTAAAGTACAAAAAACAACCAGTCGACCTGCTTGGTTAACTAAGGGCCTAAACAGGCAGCTACGGAAGAAAATCAAAAGATGGAAATATTCAGGGAAACTGCGTCACCTGCGCATTTCGAAGAATTTCGTCGTCAACGAAATGCAGTTAAAAATGCGACCATCAGGCACGGAAGGGATATGAATCCAAAATCATCCGACAGACTGAGCAGAAGCCCAAGATTTTATTTCACCATCTTAACAGTAGACTGAAAAACAAGGGCCCGGTCGCAGTACTGAAGGATGATAATGGCGTAGAAATCATTGAGAACAGCGGGAAAGCCGAACACATACGACAGTCTTTTGCCTCGGTTTTTACTACAGAAACAGAGTTTCGCAATCGCAGTGCCAGCAATGCTGTTGCGACCGCTGGTCCCGTACCTGACTCTACACTCTTCCCGACAGCTGTCTTAGAAAAGGAGCTGCAAAATCTCAAAGAAGCAAAGTCCTCGGATCCAGGGAATATGCTGGACAAATTCTTGAAAGAATTGATGAATAAACTCTCCAAACCACTGGCACAAATCTTCCGCTCGTCATTCGAATTAGGGGGTTGCCATCGGAATGGAAGACAGCAAATATCTTTGCGATATACAAGGGTGGGGCTCGCGTTAATGCTAACAATTACCGGCCTGTTATTTAACCGTGTATCTGCTGTAAAATAATTGAAGCAATTGTTAAGAAAGAACAGTGATGTTTCTGGAGAAAGGCCACTTACTCTCAGACATGCAGCACGGCTTCAGACAGTACCGCTCGTGCCTTTCCAGTATATTGCTGTCGACGGAGCAGTGGACTCGCGCACTGGACGAGGATGGTAGGGTCGATGTCATCTACACAGACTTCAAGAAGGCGTTCGACAGCGTCCCACAAAAACGCCTAATCTACAAACTTTCTGAAATTGGGATAAGGGGAAGGCTGCTGACATGGATAACAGATTTTCTTACCGAGAGATCACAAACAGTGTGCATTGAGGCCTCAAGGTCAACTCCTACTCCCGTTCTAAGTGGTGTACCCCAGGGCTCCGTCTTGGGGCCGTTGATATTCCTGATCTACATTAACGACTGCGTCGACGACCTGGGATGCAGCGCTATCATGTTTGCTGACGATGTTAAACTGTGGAGAGCCATCAGATCTGACGCAGACAGGTAAGCGCTTCAAGACAGTCTCACCCGCCTGAACAGTTGGCCAGCTCGTTTGCTCCTTAATTTTAATGTAGACAAATGTGTGTTCCTGAGACTCTGCACAAAAAAGACCAGTAAGGAGGACGATTCCTTTCAATACATCCTGGGTGGGTAGCCCCTTTCAAATGTTGTGGAACAGAAGGACCTCGGCGTCCTAATAATCTCCCCGCTGAAGCTATCATCACAATGTCAAAGGGCCGTCAAATGTGCGATAAGGGTGTTATTTGTGCTGAGGCGAGGATTTGTGCAGATCGATAAAGAGCTATTCGGGAAGACCTATGTTGCATTCGTCCGGTCTCACTTAGAGTATGCAGTCCAGGTCTGGCGACCGTGGTTGAAAAACGATTATTAACGACTCGAAAGAGTACAGGCGATGGCTACGAAGATGGTCCAGAATCTTCATCATCTGCCCTACCAAACCAGGCTGAGCGAACTACATCTGTTTCCTCTAAATTACAGGCAACTGCGCGGCGATCTCATTCAAACCTACAGGATTGTCAGAGGCCGTGAGTCCGCCCTAGACTATGATGAATTCTTTGAATTGGCCGGGACTGACCGTCTACGTGGTCATCCCTTCAATATGCAGAGGAAGCTGGATCATTCGAACGTCCGACGAAACGCCTTCTCTCACAGGGTCATTGGGCATGGAACAGACTCCCTGATGCCGTGGTTCTTTCCGAAAGTGTCCAATCCTTTAAGTGTAGACTAGATGCTCATTTGTTGAGAAACTACTGTACATATAATCAGGATTATTTTAGCGGCAGCAGTTTGTGTCTGGCTCACACTTGCCGCTAAATTTTGAATTTTTGCATTTGCTGATGTAATTGATGATTATATTTCTGCTTAGGGATATGAATAGGGAGCTCAAGGACGAAAGCCTCATTCCCCTAATAAACTGACTTAAAACTAACTTAAATGGGTAGGTTTTGCGGTAGTTAACTTCTAAAGGAGGCCTAAAAGAAAGAGGCAGATATCTGAGCGGGTAGCTATTAGAATTAATAGGTGGGGGATATGATCTTAGATGGAGTTTTAGGGATTTAGGTTGGCATATCTTTGATGCTATTAGTTTTGCGTAGTGGGAAGCCTGGACCAGGTTAGAGGGTAAATTATTTAGAGCGACTTTCGTGAGAATTATTGTCAGGATAAATATTACGGCATTGGTTGGTGGCCGGTATGCGGAACAAAGTATTATTTAGACGCAAACCTTGACCCTCGGAGTTTATTACAAGTTCAGTTTAGGCTTAGTAAAATTAAGAGGGGGCAACATACCACTTAAAGTAACCACACTACCGTTGTTCTGGTTCAAAGTCGGATTGAGTCTTTGAATCACGTCATTCTTACAGCGTTCCCCAGGCGGTCTGAAAAAAGGACTCGGAGAACTTCATTGAAGTGTCGATGCTCTCGGTTTAACTGAAGTATAGGGATTCATAGATGTTCTGCGAGGATTAACAGGAGAGTTGGAAACGACAACTGAATATGCTGCTAATCTGGGGGGAGAGGAAGACGTTAAGTATCATGAGTGTGGGAGGTACAGAAGCAGGGGGAAGCAGTGAGTTAGTTTTCAAATGAATAGGAATAAATTACCTCTCGACGTCTGTCGCATTGTGACTGTATTGGTGGGCGTTTAGCTAAGAAGGCGATAGCTTTTATGAGAACAGGTACCCAGTTTTTCGCTGCATGATTTACGGTCACAAAAAAGGAGAAATTCACGTTTTCCAGATATGCAGAAACACGATCTCTGTGGGAAAAGTGGAATAAACATCGATTGGTGAAATCACATTTATATGAATACCATCGCGACCTCTTCCGACGCGGCTTTTAGGAATAGATTAAGATTATATATAATGTGCACCGAGTTGGAACTTAGAGAATGACCCCAAGATCCTGTAATGCTCAAAACTTCTGGGACAATCTTGAAGGCTGTGGTTATACTCTGGACCATCGTTTGTAGGAATAGCATTGCCTTGAGGGGAACGACACTCAGCGTATTACTGAGATGTGGGTTTCGCTAATTTCTGTTTATACAAAAGGTAGAATTGGCGGTGAAAATGGGACGGGAAAGGCAAAATATCTGCGATGTAAAATTTGTGGACATGCTACTATTAACTGAAGTGGCATTGTTTTACGGAAGCACATTTAGGTATGATATGTGTGAAGGAATGATGCTGCGTGGGGTCAAAAAGCAGAAGCAGACGGAAATGGGATTTTGAGAATACCTGGCGTAGTATGAGGGGAACTTATATTTTAAATCGGACTAAGCTCTCTAAGAGAACTGTAAACGATTTAATTAGGCCGAAAAATTCGCGATGACTGGCAAGCTGGCGGGTTAGGAAGATTACTATCCACATTGTCCGTATGCATCCTAGAAAATGCTTTGTAAGCAAAGTTCCTTACCTTAATGTCTTTCTGTATTTGAAAGTTTGGATTGATAGCAAAGACATCCCTGTAGCATTATATGACCTTTTCGATTGTAACATTAGGTCAGGTGTAAATGGTTAGGCGTAGAAAAAAAATTAATTCGACACAGTTCATCGAAACAAGTGCAATCGACTAATGAAAACATGCAGGGAATTTGTATTCACGTATTAAAATACGAGTTCATCGACTCGAAAACGACTTTTCTGAGAGTGCAATAGTCCGTCAATCAAATATCCGGAAAATTAGTCGGTTTTCCTGACATCCTGAATGTTCCAAAAAGCTTGCCTCACTCTCTCACATAATAGCCAGAGTTTAAAATCTGCTGTACTCATTTAGAAAAAAAGGCAATTGGCTGGTCACGATTTCATATCTCGAAGAAAAATACCCATGCGCACGACTCAACTAATCTTGCTGGTTATCAGAGATTGTCATTCGTCGTGTACATGAGCGCCCGAGTTGATATCCCATAGGTTTCGCAAGAAGAATCTGACTTTCAGTTTTTGTGTGTAAGCGGGCGGAGTTTTGTGCAATTTGTTGTCATATACCTGGACAACGGAAATAATTCGTACTTATTTCGTATCCATTACACTCCGGGTTAGCTACGTTGATATACAGTGGAACCGTGATTGACCCCTTAAAAAATCCAAATGACCTAGATGCCTGCGAAGAACTAATCTTCACCATTTTCCAGATTATTTTGTTATATGTAAGAAAAACTAATTTAGGCCATTGTTGTGTTTAAATTACTCAATATTTGACCGACTCTCAATAGTCATGACATTTATCTGTTAATTTTTCAAACATGAAATCACGCCTTGAGATGGAGACGGAAAAGTACAAGAATAAGCTAATTGCTCTTAGGGACAAGGATTCTTACAACATGTAACATATTTTTTAATGGCATTTTAAAGATATGACCATCTAAAGGATTGTATAAGACTTGCAATATCACGTGAACCTCGCCCGTCTACTTACTCATTGCGGGGTCTTAGTGGTGTTGCCAAACAAGAGCACAAAGGACAATTTTGGAATATGTTAGATAAACCAATAACTGTCGCTGTGTCGCGAGCTGAAAAGAAACTATTCTCGGTTGTTTTTATTTATTAAGATTATTTAAAAATTAGGTCGAGGAGGAGAGTTTCGAAAGAAAAGTTGACGATAGTGACGGCCCACTGCCGAACTTAATGAATTTATATTTTTTCCATCGACGCTGCAGTGTCGGGTTAAGTAGTGATGAATATGTTAAGCTGGTTTTGGCGATGAAGTCACTTATTGAGAAATATCCCCTGACTCATGTTCGCTTTTGGGGAAAAATATTTGGAATTCTACAAAATTATTATATAGTTGAAACGGAAGTGGCAGAAGGTGAAACAATCCAAGATTCTGATGATGAGGATGAGATTGAAGAAAAAGACACCAATTTTGTCGGTGACGAGGAAAAATTATCTTTGACAGGTATTTTGCTGGGAATTTAAAGATATTTTTATCATGTCAACTTTTTGCCAGTCTACCAAACCTTGTTACAACATTTTCTCATTAATCCTGTTATCTGTCCATGTATATTAATAGCTATTAATAGACATGGACAGGTAGCAGGATTTGTTGTTATCTAAAAACCATAGACTAGTCAACGTTTTTTTAGATAACAACACATTTTACAAGAAACGACTGCTTTTCATCGTTGGACCAACTACCTGGAAGTCTTTTTTTACCAAACTCGTGGATGTTTTATGACCAAACAAAGCACATGATTTTTTGAAAAAAGCAAAGACGGCGATGCGTGCAGTATTTTCTGATGACATAGTATTTCATGGCCTCTTATTCAACTACACATGGTTATTGCAAATTAATAAGATAAGGAAACTGTTCACTCAGAGATCGACATAGAGAAAAGAAACATGATAGATAAATAAAACATCATTGGTCTGATAAATGTGTGCGCACGACGATGGAGAATGCAGAGGGAGGTTATTTAAGCAAGCGCGTTCGCATTACAGCGAACACCTGTTAGACGTGATCGAAATTCGGCACCAGCGATGGGAGAGGAATGGGAGAACGGGTATGGGGATGAGTGTATGATCGTTATCGATCCTTACCATTGCAGTGCGAGGCTGATCACGTGATCCAGCTGCTTAGAGAGTTCCGGCTTTATCCTTCATATTTCAGCGGTCTCGGCAAAGCGCTTGAGACGCCAATCGTCATTCAAACGACCATAAATGCAGTCGCTGAGTCCACATATATCCCGTGTCTACTAAGTAATGCGTAACTGAACTCCTGGGTGCCTTATTTTCTGCCATTAACAGCCACTGCGACTTGTGTTTGGCTGAGCAAACTGCCAATTTCCTTTGCGTGCGTACAGTGTATTTTCATCCGTACTATATGTAACCTCATAAATACAATTTTATGTCGTGTGCATCGGCAGAATGTCTCCCTGGTCTAACTGGAATAGCCGCTGCATTGCTCATGAACAACAAATTAGAGGCGACGTACGTCCGTTCAATCATGCACCTAAATCGTAGCTTGATCATAATTGACACAATAGCAACTTTGAAAGGGAGGTTCATGCTTACCGATTTTTTTTGTCTGGGATGTCGATACTTATCGAGAAATTTTTCTGGATACCAGTTTCCAAGTGAAACGTTTTTTGGAACCTAATTAGTCGTCGATCGTGTCTGAGGAACAGATCCTATTGGTTATGTTGAAGAGGCATAAAACAAAGTTTTGTTTTTTTCTGAATGGGAGCGAAACTGAGGAAGTGAATATAGTGTCATTTTTAGGTGGCGTTTCGATAGACAGATCTCTGAATAGAGCCATCTGCTCACCTAGGTACAAGAACGTCCAAAGGTCACGAAACTTTATGGCGTCAATAAATCCTGCACGTTTCGTCGCCTTCGCTTTGTTCAAATGTATTCCAGGAAAACAGTGCTCCAACATGAATATTTGTCAAATACCTCAAACTGGGAGAAGGTGAGCACGATAAGTTAAAGAAACAGCCAGGATGGTCGAAAATATGTAATTAGAGGTAAGAAATATAGACGAATATTTAACATTTATTGTAGGCTAAAGTAAACGGAAATGCAGAATTAATTGCTTCCTGTGTATCTGTTGGCTAAAATACAGTGATGCTCTACGCGGCGACTTCTTTCCATGAAGATGTCGCCCTTCTAACCTGGGAACTAAATAATAATTTTAAGAATCATTGTACTTGATACGGCTGCGATCATGCCAGATCTAGCCGGCCTCGATGATGTCCCGAACTATACCTCTCCACGCGTGACGATCCGCGGCAGCAGATCTGGACAGCTCAACCCATTCCCTTTGCCAACGACGGAGGCCGAATACCGAAGGTCTAAGAACCATCTCCATGTCTTTACGAACTGTGTCGAGCTAGGTTTTGAACTGACCCCCTCCTAGACGCCTCCACTGGGGCAATGGTGCCAGATCGAGGGCAGTAGCACTGAGCTCTTGAGGTGGACGACGAAGAACATGCCCGAAAAATGCCTAAATGGGTCGGGCATTTTAAGAATAGTCATTAGTTGCTGGCATATAGGCTATAACTGCGGTCAGATGAATAAAGAACTGTTTAAATACATTAAGCTAATTAGAAGAAGTTGATGTGGTTTTAAGCAACGTTACGCTTCACTATACCCTGAGGCATAAATTTCGTTTTATTCTCTATCATGTAAACAATGAGACGAATGCTTTCCTTAAATTACCAGTTAGGTGGAAGTTTGCTTTTTAATTTAAATAAAAAAATAAAAAATTGATATAAAACCTTTACATAATACGTCAAATTTTATTCCTTTTTTGGAACTTTTACATGTAGCTAGACTGCGGCAAACTGCTGACATTTATCCCAAACTCCTTACTCCCAATGCATTGCAAATATGGACAACGGAGATCTGAATACCTAGTTTCTGTTCTGTTACGTCATTAGTCGCTCAGGCGCATTCTTAACGATCAAGATCATTTGCTGAGATCTACAGTATCTTCATATTCGTGTCACAACATCCTCATCAACCTGGTTTGACTGATGATTAAATCACTGGAGATTCATCCCGCCATTAAGGTTGAGTTGGAATTATTGGGCAAAATAGTAGCAATAGATCCGTATTTTAATTTCAGAATGGGTGGTTTCCGTTTAAAACCAAGTCCACTGTAAGTACCAGGTCGGGTTGTAAAGTCTATTGCATGGCGCGTTTTACTTGACCGGCTTCTTCCCAAGGATTTCTTATGATTGCATGCTAAAAGTGTTTTTGTATATCGGGCAACTTTGAATATGCAGACGGCATGCACCATACATGGCAAAACGTATATTCTAAAATATCGAGTGTCTTCATATAATCTCTCATTTCTATGTTGTCAATCTCATCAATTTGTTGAACTTCTATGTCTATGCACATTACTTTGATCTTTATTTCTTTGGGTGTTGTATTTAGTTCTGTTCCGTAAATTACTGTTTTATTGCGGGTAAGAGCATGTTTTTACCCGGACGCAATCAGTAGGTTACTGCGGCTTTAGCGTTCGAGTAACACGACGGTTTTTATAAGCTTTTAAAAGTACTCCCTCTTGCTTTGTTGTAAAGTGTATTTTTAGATACTAGCCCCGCCATTACTGGCTTTTGATTATTTAAACTTCTAGCAGAATTCTAATCATATACGAAATTGGCTAAATGGCCGGAAAAAATATACTGATTGCAGACAAATTCATTTTTGACTATGCCTTAAACAAATGGTCACACCTTTGGCACTGTATTTAGCTTATTTGCTGATTAAGATCTTCAGTATTCCCGCTTCTTTTGGGTTTTGCACAATAATAATGAAATAAACTTTTGTGACTTGCACAAAACAGCACACAAATAAATAATTTTCCACTGTGTTCCCCAGGAAAATCGTTGGCAGTGAGACTGTGAATGCATTATTAAGAGTGAGGAAAAGTGACGAAAAAATGGCTTCTTTGGATACCGTTCTTGACCTGTGTAATTTTTTCTAAGTTAAAACAACCGTTAAGAATACAGGCCCTCTTGTGGTAGCCCTATGCCAAGTCGACTGCAATGAATACACATTCCTCTGACAGGGGGGTCGTTTTTCTGAGATGAAAAAACGATGAAGCCGAGACGAGTCAATATAAGAAGCTTGAAGTGTTCTTTGGAAATTTTAGGCTCTCCAGCATCGCCAATGAGTATTCTAACAAGCTGTTTAGACAGTATTTTAGAAAGTAGTAAATGTAAGTGTAAAGCATACTTTGGAAGCAATGTTATAACTCGTGTGGCTCAGAGTGATCCTCCAAGAAACTTTGTTTTAACGGATTTTAGGTTATGTTTGAATTTCTAAATCATAAGTATCAAACTGTTTAGACATGTTTGCAATTTCCCAAGCAGTGACATTATTCAGACCGATGCGCGACAGAAATAAAATTCCTTCGTTTCGTGAATTCAATAGCCGGTTATAATTCTCAAACTCCTGGACGACACAAAAGCACTCGACCTTCGTTTTAGTTCCAGAAACAACCCCAATTTTTCGTTTTTAAGGCAACATCTGAAGTCATTTAAAAGTGACCATTCTTTTTCGGCGTTTTGTCAATAAAAATGCGCCCGTTGACCCAGAGCTGAATAGCGCACAAGATTTACGTGAGTCACTTCTTTGTTAATCAACGCCAGTTGGTGGACGTTCTGCTGTTGAAGATAATTTTTCCGTCGTAGAACTCAGGAAACTTGCAAATAAAGTATTTGCCTTATCCGAACCACGGATGCTTTCTCTTCAGAGGACGACTTCCCAAAAAACCGATGGAAGCCTCCGCCAACAATTCCACCGGAAGAATTCCGTGAAGGCGTTAATAAATATGTCTACTTCGTTTGTCACTTTCCCGGTGGCAGGTGGATTCGCCTTCCGCATGTCAAACCTCAGCAGATATGCGTTGCACGTCAGGTAAGGTATTCTGTTGACTACTCGGTGTAAGCTGTGTATGGGACATTGTAGATGTGCTTCTTGCCTTGCCTGTGAAGGAAATGCAAAATATTGATTTTTTGACTCGTTTTCCCTACGCAACTAGGGATTTGTTTGTAGAATGGAACTTACCTGCGGTTAATAAACCTACGACTTTGTCCCGTGTGCTATTTCTTCTAAACGACCTTGATAGCACGGGGATTTTGCCTTCTGACAGCTAGAAATAGGCAAATTAATCGTTAAAATGCGCCAATGACAATATAATTGCCCTCTTGGACTCGTTCTCCCTACTCCTATTATCTTGAGAGTGCGACTGTCATTGAGAAGTTTCATCACTTAACCGGAGAGAGGAGCCGGTCCCTGTCTCTCAAAGACATCCTCAGCTATTTTGCGGACTCAATGGAATGTCATATTTGATTTTCTGAAGATGTCCTTGAAGAGTTCAATATGTTTTCAAAATAGATTCTGGAAGATATGCGTACAGGCATATTTGAAAAAATACAATACAATACTTTTTGATGGAATTTTCCCAGTCGGAAAGCGATGTTTATCAGTTTGCCCGGATTCCAATTCCTTATTTCTAATTTCACATGGGGTAATTATAAGTTGGCTCTCGATTTTCCGTTAAAATACGGATGGCAGCTAGTACAATGTAATTGCATGTGTTATGTATCCAGTAAATGGATGAAAATACCGAAGCCAATTCGGGACTAAACGCATAATTTGGTTGGAAAAGAGTCCCATTTGTTAAGTTATTGTTTCGAAATAGCATTTAATTCATTGCCGATTTCCATCATAATTAGTAGAGCTTTTGAGATTCATATCGTCTTTCAGTCTTATACGGAATTATTGAAGTGCCGATTCTACTGAGGTTAGTAGGAAGGTAATAGTTTCGACCTCTCATAGTACCACTACTCAGTCCCTGGAAAATCTTTTTACTGCTATGTTAATCCATGCGGTATGCTTCCAAAAAAGCAAATAACATTTTATAGGCACTGCAATGGGAAAGGGTCTGGAGGACTTCCAGCTGTTATCATCGACCGTTTATTTATTTACGCCGTTATTTATTAAACGCCGGCAAACACACGAAAGGAGTAGTACTACTTGCTTTTATATTTCAGTATTCAGTGCCACTGATAGTGGAAAGCGTCTGTGATCAGGTTACTTGTTAGTTTGTCAAAGAGTTTTATAAGATTCTAGCACCTCCTTTCCAAGTAGAAACGCACTTTCTTCCCTATAAGTGCATCTCAGTTTGTCGATTGAGCTGGTCAGTCATGTAAAATGCCAGTTCACTGCTTCAAAGATCAGAGTCAAGGCAGGGCGTCTCTTGACAAACGCCTTATTAGCCTATATGCACAGCCTGTTTCACCATTAATTACCTCTTAAAAGCTTGTTATCCTTCCTCCGTTCGTAAGCTCCGTCTGTACAAAGGCCCGTATAATCAGCGGTCAGAAAAAACTCGTACTGGCTGTTTCACTATGGACTGCGATTCTAAGATTAACACATTTCTTCAGTTAATCGTTCCGCCTGAATATTGCCTATATCTACCCCGCAGTCATAGACTAGCCTCAAAGAGGTGTCAGCCAATTGAGCAATACCTTATCATTTGTTCTCAAGGGTGTTGCTTAATGCCAAAAACTGAAATACATTACTGCCTTCGGCAACAGTATAGTATGTGGCCCCGCTGATAAAACTGTAACTCTTAAACCTAACATTAACCGCAACCTTAACCCTATCCTTAACATAACTATTGAACCTAGCCCTAACCAAAACAGGGACTATAATCTTATCCTTAACCCTTAAACATAATCTTATTTCCAACCCCAACTTCGACCGTAAACTCAACACCCAAACCTAGCTTTAACCTTAAACTTGGCCCTAATTACTAGTGTTGGTATTTAAATAGCATTAACGTTAGTTTCGTGAGTAGGCCAAATGTAAGACTTTTGAAATGGTTCACCTTTGTCCGTAATATTACTATGAGGGTTGTGTTTTTCTAACCGCACAAAGTTCTTCTAAATCTGTTACCTGCAGAAAATAGCGAAACGCTCCCAAATAAAATAAGTAGGCGAGTTTTAGTCACAGCGACTGGGTGAGCCAACATGATATACCGTCACCCTACTTTCGTCTATCCTGGCACAGACTTGTAACACTTCTTTTTAACTTTCCCCTGCGCTCAGATCTGCCGCTTTTTCACCGGCAACTTAGACGCCCCTGTGGAAAGCTTCCCCATCTTTCCAGGAACCGAGGCAAACTACCTGCGAGCACAGATTGCACGCATCACTGCCTGCACTCACGTCTCTCCGGAGGGATACTTTAGCTTTGAAGACGAAGAGGGTGAGGAGGAGTACGACGATGACGAGGAGGAGGAAGAGGACAGAGCGCAACGGGAATGCATTCGGAACCTGGAATACGCTCCCTTGCCGATCACACAATTGGGTCATCCTGGTCTCAAACACTGGGTGCACCACTCACCCTATATCTTGCCTCAAGGCCGAGTTAGATGGTATGCCCAAAGTCCTTTCGCCTGCATCAGATCTTGGACTTTGATGTTTCAGCGGCGATAAACTAACATGGACGCCAGCACATACTCACTTGACTGGGGTGTTAAAGGATACGCAGTTCATGGTTAGCGATAGTTCAGTAACTACCGGCAAAGCAGAATTTTCGCCTTCCTTACAGCTCACTTCGACAACTTTCTAATGTCAACCTTTGTTTCGCTGCCAGCGGTATTACTCTTTCCAGGAGACCGATGTTTTTCTCTTGTCTACAAAAAAATACCGGACATTTTTGAGTCCAAATCCAATTAACTCACTTGAGTGCATGCCCAACTCCGTCTCAAGACATAATTGAGTAGTCTCCTTGCGGCACAGACGAACTGACAGATCTGTCCACTTATGATTTACAAAAGAATTAGTGTAAATATGTCCAGACGTAGCAGCAGGAGAATATCACGACTCTTCAACTATGCTACCCATTGGTTCTAGTACTGACACTACCACCCGAATCACCCCTACCATTAGCATAGATCCTGTTAGCAGCCAAGTTCTCGACGGAGATTCCTAGCAGTCGAAGATTATACCTATTAGAGCACCCATGGTACACGCGATACATATGGCAGGGAAAATATTCTAATATGTAGCAACATAGTTAATATGCAAATTATACTGCTCCCAATCGGGGGCTCTTTCATGTAGCGCAATCGCAGCGAAACTAATAAAAATTGCAACTAAGGAAGAAATTCTGAAAAGAATGCAATAAGTGACCCAACTCTGCGTATTACATATGAATGCCTACTGATTCATACGAAATTATTGTTTAATTTGGGTACAGTTCCTTTTTTCAAGAGACCATAAATTTTCGCTAATGATTTGTCGGTTGGCATACACCCTAACTTGGAATACTTTACCTTTGCCGGCAACCGTGGCAGCTTCCCTGTGTTCCGCAATTCTGCATCATTATGTCGTGTCGTTGGGTCAACGTTCCTACTTTGCTCTTATGGAATTCGCCGACATCACCCGTCCTTGGGTTCCTATTGGCTGTTTCGCTGCCTCGATCTCTGAACATGGCTTGTTACTGTACAGGCGCTATATTTAGCTTCCTTCGGTTTTCGGTGTTAGATTTCGTTAGTATTCAATTTTCCCGCTATATTTCGAGGTCATGCACGAATATTTTTTTAACTAATTCGCGGAATTAGAACACTTTTCCAAAAATTCGCATTGTTAATAGAGTTCTTTCCCTTCCATTGGCCCCACACATATAACTCCTACTTCCACCGGTGACCTATCCTCCGCATTCTGAATGGGGTCGCTTATTGCGTCGTCTCCGAAATTCGATCACTGGAAAATGGGCGTTTTTCTTCCTAGATTTTGTATTCACGATCGAAATCAGCAAACTGAATTTGGGAATATATAAGAGGCGCAGTTCCTGCGCGACCACCGTGAGCAGGGAGGAAGATTAAGGGTTAGTTTGCGAGCACCCGGTTGTGAAGACACACATAACCACGGCAGTTCAACCGCCGTGACCAACGGTGTCTGCCGTGTGCTTTATATCAGGGTGTAATCCGAGACGGTGATTTGTGTGCTAATTCGTTTAGAGGGATAGTAGACTTGTGCTGCGTCTTCTACGCTCTCCTCCTCCCCCACCTGGCAGCGGTGTCAAGACAGAGTCAAGAGGACCGGAGACGGAAGAGGCGCAGGTTGCTGACAAGGAGAAAACTCGTGTCTTCGCGTGTCAATGCATCCCTTGATCCACGACGTATATTGACCAGAATTTTATACCAGGAACAGAAAGGGGTGGAACGGATCCAAATTTTCACGGTTCGGACCTGCGACTAGGCGTGCTGCCACACCCCAAATGTTGGCATTTTTATGAGTGTTCTTTCCGGCAACGCCAGCCGGACTCCGATCTATCCCCTGTGTTGGTCCAACGCATCTACCGCATATAGACACGATGAGCACGTATCTGGTTTAACCTGTCGGTCAGCGACGGTTACGGGGGTGTGGCCGCTGTACTCAGCAGGCCGTCGTGGAACGCCAGATGAGGGCTGGGTGCCACGGCAGGAGCGAAGTATGAGTATTCACTAAGCCCACTTAAGCGTTAACTGGAGTCCACCAGGTTTTTGGTTGCATGTACTTCTAACGACAATGGCCACGCCTGAATTGACCGGCATAGATGGCGCCTCATGAGTTACTTTCCAATTTTCCGCAGTTTGCGGCAGTCTGAGCACATTCTCCGCTATACTGCAGAGCAACAGTCATTAGACTAAATCGAGGAATCGGGAGTGACCGTACAGCTACGGGAGGTAACGTTATCCTAAAGGATATGCCATTAGGTACCCCTGGCCAGTGACGGCAACTTTGCCTTCTCTGTTCTGCGGCATTGATGGGCATTACTAATTGGGTGAAGGATAACTGAATTAATTCTTTTATCTGTTCATAACGGCTATAGATACGCCACAAGCAATACTTTTAAGCAAACTGCCCATTCGTATAAAGATGTGCTTGAGCCCGGCCCTTCCTTTCCACAAAATAAATAAATCGCTTACAGGTACTGCTGAGTGCATGTACACCCCCCTTAGTTATGACGAATTATAATACAAAGCTTGCGAACACTTAGTTAAATCACTTATGCTTTGGCATTTAAGTAACCACAATTTTTAGTAGGAATTTGGTAAAACCTATGAGCCTTCTTCATCAGACTTAGAAGAAGATTCAGGAAGTTAAAGTGACGTCGTCGTGCCAGTACAATTATTGCAAACTTATGTAGTTTTGGTTAATTATAAAATCTATTTTCTCCTCACCCCTAGGTTGAACCCAGCGTCGTTGGCCTTTGATGAGGCCTCAGAACAATCTTTTGAAAAGGAAGAGGAGGATGAGCTCGCGGAAACGAAGCTGGTTGGCTTGAATGACCACGCTGAGCGTGGACTCCCGCTGCTAACCAGTATTTCTAACGATATTGACGTCTATGGACAGATGCCATGGAGCGTTCGCGTGTTCGACAGCCCCTCACCCGAACAGGCCTGTGTGCTAGTCTCCTCCAACCTCTGGGTCGGTGCGCACGCGATCGCCTGGGATAGGTCGGTAACGATAGATTTAAAAATAAACCTTCCCACCATAAATCCTTCTATTGTAGAGCTGAAGACATGCCAGAAACATCTCACAAGTAAGAAGGCATGCACATCGGAACCATGGAGTGTAGTGCTAAACACCGAGTTAATTGCTAGGTATTATTAGTTGACTATATTCCTGTAGTCCCGAAATATTTTCAACGAACAGTGACGCTGTCCTGGTTTTGTCATTAATGGCTTAGAGGGGTTTTTGATCTAAACTCCGAAAATTCTGCCAGTCTCGGTAGATTAGTTTGAATTCCGTTTGGAGGCCATTCAATTAATGCACAAATGCTGGCTAAATAGAGTTTAATAGCTGTTTTGGTGGACTTTGGATAATTAATTGTGACCCATCTGTGAAAAACTCGGCGATGTCGATGGGATTCGTGCTCACAACAAGAGACAGACTTGAGCACAGCCAACGCTCCAGCCCCCTGAGCTAGGTGGCCTTACCAGGACCTGTCAGTTTAATCGCATTTATGTCAAGTTACCTGGTTGTCATCTGGTGGATCCTAAATGGATTACTTAGGAAATCCTTCTTGGGTAGTTTGATAACTGCACCGGATTTGCTTATTTCCATACGTTGCAATAGGCTGGCTGGGCCGGTAATTTGATCTAAATGTTATTAACCCCACGGCTTCCGGTGGGCCCTCGTATCTGAGGTGACAAGAGCGTCGGGTGTACTCAAGCTTTCCCCTAGCTGTCGTGGGTTCACACCCCACCGAGGTCGCCTATTTTTGATTGGGTTAAAATAAATAAGATTTGTCAAGTTAGGGACATAATACTTTAACATTCTGCTAAGTAATCTGCTATTTAATTGTAAATGGTCGTGGAAAATCAAACAACGACGGTTCTACTTTACCCTTCACTGTCTAGTGCTGCCAGGAAAGTTATGAGTGTAGCTTGAATCCAACAAACGGCAATTTATCGGAGAAGAAAATCCGCAGAACAATCACTGTTTCCGCATCATTCACAGCTCCACGGTTTTGACAACGCCTTTTGTCATTCTCGTTGGCTTACGCATCCCTTAAGTTAATATGGCATTTTCTGTTTTTTTAAAGAGGATCGAGATCTTGAACTCCGGAGCAAGTTCGAGTGAATCAGGTTCGCTTCATTTTCAGCGCATCAAGTATTCTTGGTGATTGGGTTAGAGAGATAGTTCCTCAGTGAGCCCGAATTTAATTGCCAAAAACCCTTTCAAAATAGCGCAAAAATTGCTAACCCTTTAAAACCAGCTCAAGGCTCAACTAAAAAGTGGAAGCTATGTCGCCCGAAAGCATATTATCAGAGCGTGTCTGGTAACCTGGTCAGTGAACACACTTTTCATTGTATTAAGCTGGGACACTGTCCAACTTACTTGTTACTGACGTCCATGCTTCTAAGAACGTCAGCGACGGCCGGGAAACTTCTTTGAAACACTGTCAGACATGGTTAACCACTGCGGGCAGTTTTTCCATGCTCGAGACGTTAAAATCTAAAGTGCTGACCGTTGATACCTAAGGGCATGGTGAAGAGTTTCAGTTGTACCAAAAGCACCGGAAGTGGTGGTTTTTCGTTCTCCACTAAGACCGATTGCAGCTCAGTCAGAACAAAAGCGAGCGCAAGGTACTGAGAGGCACGGATTCTCCCTGTGGAAGGCTACAACCATGGAACTCTCTGCAGCCCGGTTCAGGTGTGGGGTCACTTCGAAACCATGCCGGCTTTCCTGAGGGCGCAAGTAAGATTTGGAACTGGCCTGTGCTTAAAACAGGTCACGCACTCCAACCAGACCTTCGTGTGCTCTCATGTAGTAAAGACTGTCCAACAAATATGCATTTCTGAACTGTGCGTTGTGGCCAACATTGCGGTATGCCAACTTAACCCTGTTTTCCTGAAAGACGCGCAAAAAATGAAATATGAAAGAGAGTTGCACGCAGCATACTCCATCATATCTTGGCCAATCATTCTGTATTACTCCTTTTTATGGAAGGCGCGAAGGTTTTTGCCTCTGGTAGCATAGGTTCTTCTCTTACCGGTTGCTCACTTAATATGCAGGCTTACTTAGCAGAAGCGCACCCCAGACATCGGGTTCCGAATTCGTGTTGAAAAAAAAAACAGTTCTTCACCAAACCACCCCTAGCGACCACTAACTAACGATCTGCAGTATACTTGGGTTTCTGGACAACTAAATGCTATGTTGAGTGCGCTATGGCGGATTGATCGGGGACCAATCATGCCAAGATTAGTAATTTCCTATGCAACAGCAGGAGCAAATCCCCTTACAACGCGGTTCGTTGGGTTGGGCTAGCCTTGTATGGCTTAAGGAGAATGGCATTTGCTTCCATAACCTCCCCCGAGCTGAAAAAGGGCTCATGCAGACAGTCAGTGTGGAAAGTTCAACTTGTTTCCTTTTCTGGGTACTGTGTAACCGTGTCCCAGGTTGAAGAAGCTGACAGAAATTGTATCGCTGGCATTTGCCAAAGATTGGGTCAAATTCGCAAGCGTGTCACTCATAACTTTATTCTCCTACAAGTTGGTTTCATCTGCCCCCTTGGATTCTGTGATATGGCAGCTGACCAAAAGAGTGACTATTTTAGCTGATTGACGATTAATCGAAGTCAATTAAAGAGACAAGATCACAGTGGCGGTAGGTCTAGCAAAAAGTGTGGTAGCGACGATTATATGTTCTCATTCGCACATACCAAATTAGCCTACTGGCTGTTCAGTATAGGGATAAATGGTCCGGCCGGTCATGTTTTGAATGAAGTGAAATTAATGCCACTACGGCTGCATAATATAGAGTTGGTTGCCTTAAAACACCTATATCTAGTAGGATTATGATGTTGGATGCAATAGCTGACAACCAAAAACTGTCTTAATTAGAATTTAAAACGACAGATTTCCCAGATCAATTTTCGCTGTGGATTACAGCGCACCAACAGCTCTGAGACCAATAGTTTTTATTTGCAAACAGGGGCTAGATGAACAGTGTTCAGTAAGAACCAATCACTGAATACGTAGTCGCCGATTAGCCTCCAGTCATCAAGCACACACGCGATCTGTCAGAGCCAAACGCGTGAGTCAGCGCATGCTTGCCCCAGGGGTCACAAGGGGTCGGTAGTTCACGGTCTGCAGCCTGTTGGTCGATACCCTGGGGAATTCGGTTATCAAGACAATAGGACAACTTCTACTACAAAGCGATCCCGCTTCTCGTGTGTCAACATCGCTTTGTTGAGAGAAGCCACTTTTATGGGATTGAGATCTGTGCTGTTCTACCCAATGGCGAGTGGCGTGTTAGTGACTCAATAGTTTTTCCCAGTTTTTCATTTTTTCCTACAACATTGTGTGCAGATCAAAGAGTTTTGCTTCTTAAAGTCAACAGGCCTCAACATTTTTCGGTGGCGAAAATAAATGGGTGAACATCCAACAAAGGTAAACAAGATGGAACCTACGTAGACAGGGAATACCGAGGCAGCATATCAATATCCACATACGCAAATAAATACCCAACTGAGAAGCGGGAATTGACTGAAACTCAAACCATTTGTGGGCCTTCTGCATAAAGCGTGCTAGTATGTGTATGCTTCTAGTCGTAGGTGTTGGTCGGCAGCATGAGTAGGTCATGGAGATGCAAATAAGTCGGACGCAAATAATACCTCAGGCACCCCAATTCCTCTGTCTTTGTCACCTATGGCCTTGCCTTTTGAATCTCTATCCACACGAGTTCTGAACTTTTCATACGGCCCAAAGGTTCCGCTCAAGAAAAAGTGTTCATCCATCTATCTCGGCCACAGGCAAAAACTCATAAGCATCCAATCCTTGGCTGGCTGGCTACGACAGTCTACAAAAATCATTAAAAAAACTTTAAGCCACTTTAAGGTGGTAATTTCTTCCAATCCTTCATCCACAAGTCTACCTTACTGTCTATATGTGGTAGCGCAAACTAATTCTATCCATCATCCTCTTTGCTTGCAGCAACTACGACAATATCTACATTGGTTGGGGTTTGAAGTCTACGGGGCCCGGCTTGAGCCCTTACACGCCGCCTGAGCCAATGGAAGAAGCGACGGAGCAACACCAAGAGGCTACAGATCCAACACCAGAAGAGGAGGCGGCAGCTAACGAGCCTGAAGAGGCTCCTGAAGAAACAGACTCTGAGGACCTCGATGAACAAGGACTAGAGAACTAAGACATGCATTTTGCACTTTTTTACGACCAACTGAATCATGCTTGACATCGATTGTGCTTATTTTGGACGGATTCTTCATAAAGAACACATTCTCACTTGTTAGCACTTTCTTTTGCCAAAAATCCTAGTCGGACTTGCGAAGCACCAAACAAGTAGGTGAAGTCCTGGGAATTCGCAAAGTTTGAGATGACCAGCGGGAGATTATGTGATGTCCACAGAAAAAGCCGCGAAGAAAAAAACACCTTTGTGCTGGAGGCATTTATTTAATACAATGGTTTTGCAAATTAGATAGTTAATGGCTGGTAGGCGAGCATTAGTATTGCTTTCAGTAAAGAACAGCGGACAGCGAGGCCGATTACTGTATTAATAACTGACACTAAAGAAAGCTACAGGTTTAGCTAGTCTGGAAAACATTTTCTCCCTATAAAATGGACGAAACCGGCGGACAATCCGAAGACGGCCGTCATCCCCTTTAACCTATCTGAGTTCCTATGAATGTCGTTTGAACTCCGCAACTCCCGCCAAACTAACCAGTGGTTCATAGCCTACCCATTATCTGCACCTATGATGACGAACTCTTTGCGGCCATTTCAACTGCCGAAGAACACATGGAGCATCTTGTACTGGTATCTCACCGCTTTCAACAATTTGGCGTTGTACTCACCCTGTCCATGTGTGTCTACGGCGTCCTCTCCACGGCGACCACGCAAGTAGAGATCACCGGTTCTCGTTTCTTGCCTAAGTTTTTCGGACACCTGCTCGTCTCTGCCGACATCCACCCTCCCATCTGAATGTTGTGGTCATCCATAAATTCTCGTCCTCACTTCTAAGAGTCGACCACAGAGCCTTCTTCGCATAGCCAACATTTACTGCGGGTTCCTCCAAAACTGTGTCGGCATCATTCGCCGCTCATTAAAATTCTCTCGTGTCCCAAAGGTTTGTTCGTGTTGTCCTGGTCGATGTCACCCTCCTGACCCACTCTGCTACCAACGCAACTATTCCCCTAATGGTCGACGCCTCCAATGTTGCAGTCGACGCGGTTCTTCAGCAACACCTAACAAGCCAAATCCCACTTGTTTTCTCCATAACTTTATCAACTGTCGAGCCGCGATAGAGTGCATTTAAAACGAAAGCTTTTTACTGTCTACCTCGCCGTGAAACACTTTCGGAATTTTCATTGTATTAACGAATCACAGTCTTCGGTTCTTCGCTCTAAAGTCGCCCTCTGAAAAGCCCGACCTCCAGGACATACGTCAACTGAACTATATCTCCCAGTTCGTGTCAGATATTCGTCACACTGGCGGATCATAGAATGAGGTGGATGACGCACTCCTCGGACCCTCCATCGCTCACCTCCAACTGTATCCTGGAGTCGACCTCGTTGAGATAGTTGCCAAGTGCCGGGTTGCTTCTGCCTGTGACGAGGACGTTTCTCGACTCCAACTCCAGGGCCTGTGTCTGACTAGTGGCGACAGTACCATCCTCTCTGACATCTTCACCATTTCGCACCGTTCCTTTGTGCCACCATCTCTCCATCGTAAGGTCTTTTCCATCCTGCACAACCTCTCTCACCCTGGGAGGCAAGCAGCCGAAAAGCTGGTTTCCGACGTCTTCGTATGGCCTGCGAAGAACAAGAACCTGAAGGCTTGGACACGGACGTGTCTCAGCTGTCAGCTGGGAAAGGTCCAGCGACACAATAAGACTCCCATCGGCATCTCACTCAGACCTGGTGCAAAACTCATCCACGGCTAACTGAATATTTTAGGCCCCCGACTCTGTCCAGTGGCCGTTCCTATCTTCTCTGCGTGGATCGCTTCACCTCGTGACCCGATGTCGAAGCTCCAACGGTGCTCAAGATATTCTTGGGTCGTTGGGCTACCATCATTCGTACTCCCTTAAACCTTACGAGTGGACACAATGTCAACCTGGAATCTCGCCTCTGCCAGTCCCTCCTCTCCTTTTTAGGCTATTTCCGCATCCTTACGGCAGCTTATCACCAGGCTGCTAACGGGATAGTCTGGTGATTTCATCGCCAGCTGAACAGCTACGTACTTTCCGAAGAACTAAACGGACTATCTCCCCCTGGTCCTCCGAAACATCCACTCGGCTCTAAAGTCGGACCTTGACTGTCCCACCGCTGAACAGGTGTTCGGCGACACCGTCCGACTCTCCAATCGGACGATTTCACCAGCTCGTCCGGTATGGTCTAGCATCCGAGCAACCTCCTGCACCGACTCCGGGCAATTTATGCGTACAATATCCCCGGTTACGCCCATATCTCGAAAAAGACAGGATATGGAAGAAGTCAATAAACAAGTCAACCAGGCAAACGCGGCCTCAGTCTGGATTAGTCAAAACCTCCATAATCACCGTGAAATCATTTGGATCAACTTGCAAATATCCGGAGCCTTCGTCAATACAAAAGCCCTACACCGACTTATGACGTCACTCGTGCGCTCAGAAGATACATATTAACTGGGAACGCTGGAGCGGTGATGCTTTTGCTCCCTAGTCCGGACTCTTTTCGATTATGTGTCCGTTCTGGACACAATCTGTCAACTGAACTCACCAACTCGACGACTGAAGTGGCTCGGCCGTGCGTTGAACTAATCTGAAGAAAAAATCGTCCGGAATGTCGTCTCACCCGCACACACTATTGGCTGAGGATGGCGCCGGGGTAGCGCATTGATAACGTAGATGGATCACTTTAAGGATGACCCCGAGGCCGCTTTTGAGCCTTGTGTGCCCTCGTTCAAGTGTATGTCACTGACCAACTGCAGGTGAGATTGGTTGAATCAATGAAGGCGAGTGCCGGTACAAATGACGCTCGTATGGCATACGCAGAGTAGACTTATTAAACGATGTTTAAAAAGTATGCGAAATGATCTACAATGCAGCACTTTCAGGGGACCAGGTCACTTTACACGGACGTTTAATGCCATGTGGACATGCGTTAGAGAAAGAACATACATGCGACTTGAGCATCTCAAAACACGTAAAAACACAGGTCTTCTTGTAAAAAAACATGCGGAAACCGACGTGCACTGATAAATAGATTCTCCTATGGAAGTGTCCATCTCGGAGGTAAGTCCCTGTAGATGGGCATATTAAATCACAAGCCGAGTATTTTTGAGAAATTTAGTCGAATTTGCATAGACATCGGCACCTGTACATCCTTTACTCGGTCTGGAGCACCGTAGGCAGTGGTACAGCGACTAGCAGTGTACACAAGGGATTACTGACAAAGAAAGGGAGCCTGGAATGACCATTAGTCGTCGTTATTTAGCTTTACCCACCCCAGGGTTGGGGGCACCCGAGGCTTAAACCCGTGTTCTGTTGGTTAAAAGTCCAATGACTTAACTATTAAGCCCTGACCTCGCTGTCCTATTGCCTGCAACCGGTTATCTTAACTATGACAGAGAAGCGCTTATCGATCGCTTCACAGAACACACGTCTCACTGTGCATTAAGACTCGAGTTAATAATCGTGCCTTAGGTACCCCAAACCTGGGGTTGGGTGAGGCTGGCTGACGATGACGACCGATGAACCAGGAATAGCCAACCCGATCTCCTTTGTCTTTGTGAATAATCCTCCTCTGATACAAATGACTATAAAGAAACTCCAGCTGGAGCCAGCAGGCTGACATTCACAACTTAATCTGGGATCCGGTTCAATGGTAATCCTTCCTGTAACTTCACGATCCGCATATCTCAGGTGGGTTCAAGAACATGCCCAAAAATTTGGACAAATTAACTATTCCCATCGACATCCGACTTCACTCCACATCTTTATCAGAAGAAAGTACTTGGACGTACGCTTTCTTATCGGTCCATAATATGTTCTATCTATTGGCATCTTTCAACGTCCCAGTCAACGTTGCGTCAGTTTTGGTGCTTACTGCTCCTGATACTCACTGATGACGGCGCTACCGGGAAAATCGGCCAGGCTCGGGAATATGGCCCCCTTCCTCGTATTATAGGTGGCTCTGCCCTACACTCCAGGGGGTTTGAGTTAGGACCACGGATAGCCAATGCTACATGACCCTACCGCAGAGGGCGCACAGGTACTAGCTAAAAGCCCAGACAGGTGTTTCGCCGATATCACACCGCTGTATGACAGCTGCTAGGGGCTAGGCGCATCAGCAGGTCCCCAGTGTTCCTCATGAGCTTTTTGGTAGATACTCCAGTTTTGAAATTTCCGTTTTAACCTCCTCAGCTTTCTGGGGATTAGGGATGGTCTTACGAAAGTTACTGTTTGGGTTAGATCGGTTAGGGTAAATGTTAGGGAAATAGACATTCCCCTGGAATTTAGCGCAGTGCCACCTGTAGCACTGGTGAGTCTATAGTTGGGTCTTACCAGAAAATGTAACTTACGTGTTTGATCCTTCCCCGTTCCCTTCATTCGTCGGTCTGAGATCGTAAAGAAACCTCCCAGCCTTAAAGGGTGACTTAGAAGAGTCGGTTGGTGAACATATGTTTTTGGTAACTCATCATCAGGTCGATACATTTGCACGGCTAATGGTCATTCTAATTGTAGATAGGATATAAATGCGTCTCAGGGACAGGGTTAATCGGACTCCATGTTCCCACGTCACCCGCATGACGGAGACAGCGTGTTGACGGTGGAGTTGGGGTGGGAGGGGGGGGGGAAGGAGAGGGGTTCCGGTTAGATTGTAAGCGATGTAAGTGCGTGTGACGTTCTCAGGACGTCGGGCGATCACCGTCTGGAGTCGGCCAGGACAGACAGGCTGCTTGTGTCAACGTCTTCTGTCAACAGAGTGCTGGGTTCGCTAGTCGAATGGCCACTGCTTCGGCTGTGGCTAGCACCCGTTTGCGCAGGCCTTCAGATTAGTGTACCGGCGCGCGGGAGATAACTTTAAAGGCTTCTTTAGCGCCTGTTTGGTGGTTCGTATAGACTAGATGTGCGAGAATTGAACTCGAAATCGATTGATTCTCACCTCTACCTAGCCAGACAGGCATGTGTTCGCGTATTCTCTTTTC